CTTTTTAAAAAATGTGCAGAGCTGGGCATGGCAGTGCACGCCTTTAATCCAGCACTTGAGAGGCAGAGGCAGGTAGATCTTTGTGTTTGAGGCCAGCCTGGTCTACATAGCAAGTTTCAGGCCAGCTGGGGCTACAGGGAGATATACTCTCAAAAAGACAAAAATAAGTAAATAAATAAATAAAATGCAGAACAGAGTTAGGGATATAGCTCACTATTAGAATGTGTGACCTGTTTTCCCAAAGCCCTGAGCTCAATATCTAACACTGTAAAAACCAACAAAACAAAGATATAGACAAGATTACATTTCAGTACATAGCTTCTGTGTATCAGAAGTTGTTTCTTAGCTGAATTTGGTACTGTAGGCCTGTAATCCTAGCACTCAGGAAGGTGAAGCAGGAGGAGTGCCACAAGTTCAAGAGTAGCTTGTTTTATATAGCATGTTCCAGGCCAGCTAGGTGACATAGTGAGACCGTGTCTCAAAACAAACCCTAGAAGTTTTTGTTAAAACTGTAACTTTAATTGTAAAAAAAAAAAATTAAAAAAAAAAAAGAGTTTCCTTCCCTTTGACTTAGATGAAGAATTCTCCACTGTGGTCTGCTGGTCTCTGCACAGCCTAGCCACCATCCTCTTCAGCCTCCACTTGAATCACACTCCCCATCAGTCACAGGAGCCTTTAAGGATCTGCCTGTTCTGATCACCACACAGGGCAGGTCACGGCCATGCCTTCAACATAGAGCATTTGTCCTTTTATCTACTTTCTCCCCATCATCAAGTACCACTTCCTGGGGGATGCCCAGCTTCGTGGCTGAGCGCTGGCATCCACCTTGCACAGTACTACTCCTTAAGGTCTACATTTTAAACACTGACCTGATTAATGCTGGTCATTCCAGTTAACCTTCCAATACCAGGATTTGTATCAAATCTGGAGCACTGTCATGTTATATCCCAGATCCTCATATAGCACCTGGATCACAATACACACTCAAATATTTATTGGACACATGAAAGATTTAATGTCTACATACAATAACACTGGGGGAAAGTTCTTCAGCAAGTGCCATTGTTTGGTTGTCATAGAGAAAACAACAGTAACAGTGAGCAGGTGACTGTTGCTTAGGAAGGGCCGAGGCACAACAGGAGAGCCGACTATGGGAGGCTGTTTGCACAGCTCTCAGGACCATACAATCCACACAGAAGGGGAGCCTGGTCCTCCTGCAGCCCCAGCATTTACCTCAACACCTAAGAAAATGCCCAAAAGGTCAGTAGTACTTGACTCTCCTTTACTGAATTTCTCTTAATTTGTAAACGCATCTCCAAGTTATTCATATCAATAGCTTGGCAGCCAAGATATTGAAATTTTACTCCCTCTTAGCCACCCAAGTCCAGATTTAAATTAAAATGGAGAAACAAAAAGAAAAAACTTGAAGCTTTGACTGCAAACTGCAAAGATGATGTAATTAGCACAAATATCATTGATTGCCTCTTGGGAAACATTTGCAAATTAAACTTGGTAATGATTTTCACTACAAAGCACACATTTATAAATTATCCATGACAGGGTGATGGGGGAAACTGTTCTGTATTATTCAAATGTATAAATTAGACCTAACAAGTGAAAAATGTGCTTTACCATGTAATCTTTTAGGAGACCAACTTTAGTTCCAAAACCAGTTTTTTGACATTTCACAAGTGCCAGGTACTGTGCTAAGGAAGAGGTGGAAGGTGTGGAAATATGCTACAGAGCTCCGGCTTGTCAAGGGCTACACATACTAATGGAGGAGACAGAAAATCAGTCAGGGCAATAGAAAATAGCACATGTCATGTGGCAAGTGCACTTTGTGAAAAGGAAAAAGAATGACACATCCTCCATCCTCTGAAGGGGACAGTCAGGGTACAGAGATTTTAGTACATCAAGAAGAACTACAAGGAGGAACCTAAAGGTCCTAACACACCTCGGAGCCCAATATCCAGCTCCACAGCCGAGAAGAGTGAAGCCTCCCCACACACACCCCCAAAAGCAAGGGTCCCACAACCAGCTAAGGCCAAACCCAGAACTTATATCCAAAAATTCCTTTTAAGGCGTTGCCAAGAGTATGGCCAAGTTCTGCTGGTCTTTTATCTTTCCTGGCAGCTGCCTCAGCCATTGGGGACCAAAAAATCGGGAAATTTTTATTTACTGCTCATAAAGTAGCAATTTGACTCCCCTTCCTGCCTCCAATCCAGCTCCTCTTCACCTATGTCAGATTACCAGGTGAAATGATTCCCCAAATGCACATCTGATATGCATCAGATGTGCATATCATCCTTAGGATAGGCCATCCCTCATAAAGTTCCAAGTCTCGGCCTTCTCTGGCCCTAGCCCTGATGTCAGCCTCACCTTGCTCCACTGCCTCTTTTCTCTGGTTCACAGCTAGGCTTGGGTTCTTCCATCTAATCCTGCCCTGTCCTACTTCAGAGCCCCACATGCCATTCCTTCTGTTTGAAACACTCTTCCTCTGTCCTCTTGTACTGATTCACTGGGCTCATTCCATTATCCTACATACAATAACATACAATAACTGTAGACAAGGTTAGCCCTTCTCTTCTATTTCTGTGAGTTTCATTACTCTGTGCTTCATTTCCCATTTGATGTCTGTCTTCTGTCTTCTGCATTAGACTCTAAGCTGCCAGGGAATACGTCTCTATCATCCACTGATGCATTTCAAGTAGTTAGGTAGGTTAAATAGCGAGAGCAAATACACTTAAAGTCTTAGCATGCTCACAGAATTTTTTCCTTTTTCTTTTTCATATCAGTGAGAGTTCCAGGTCTAAGGCAGCTTTACTCCATGTAGCCTTGTAGGGGCCTGGGAAGCCCCATCACCTTGCAAGTGGCTTCTGAATGCTGAGAAGTGCTGTAATCTTCTGTCTTTCCAGTTGAGAAATCATGGGGATCCTCACAGAAAAGTGTTCTCTTTTGTTCCTTTTCCAGCTGAAAGAACTTAAGGCAGAGGGCCACATAAGAGCTAGGAAGATGGAGATGTATGGGCCAGGGTCCAGCCATGGGCAGGCACCTTTTCTCTCTGTGTCAATAGAAAAAAGTACTTGAGTAGATATATGGATGTCCCACTAGAAGGAGCAGTGGACATCTGCTGAAAACCATCATTAAGTCCTTGTGTTGCTTTGTTTTATGCCAATATCATCATCTGAATTCCAAAAATCATTATTTTCCTTTTTTCTTTTATTTCATTGGCAGCATTTCAATATCCAAACAACTGGCTTCAATAAAAGGTAAGGCATGGGGTGGCTGAGATGTGTATGTCTCTCCACTTCCATGACAGCATGCCAAGAGTTCAAATTAATAGGACATCAAAGAATGTCAAAGATGTAAGCAACTTCTAGATAAATCATCAAACATTCATGAAACTCTTTTTTGATTTTGGAAATGAGGCCCAGTGATAGGAATTAGCTTGTCCAGTTTTACACATCCCATTCAAGGCAGGGGTAAGACGAGTCTATGGGTCTCCCGACTAATTCACTCTTCTCCCCACTGTGTCCAGTTGCCCCTCTATAGACAGTGTCCTCGGGATGTCTGGAGTAGAAGGTGAGCCTCTGATTCACACATGTTCAGTGGATCTTGGTTTGTGATCAGCCCCCAACTGCTCCAGTTGATTGAGTGACAGCACAGCACAGCTAGCTCCCAAAGCTTAACTACTGCCCTTTAGAACTCAATTGTCTAGTAAAATGTCTTTAGAACTAACATCACCTTGGAAATGACAACATGGGAAAAACACTCATATAGCTGGGTCATTTGTATTTCAAAATGTGCCACTCACGGTGTGTACTGAGTCATTACTACACTGAAGTTGTTTTTCCTCTAGATGGCCGGCCAGTCTGCAGCAGATTCTTGGAATTTTGTTTAGTTTTGTTTAGTTTTGGTTTGGTTTGGTTTGGAGTTGTTGTTGTTGTTGTTGTTGTTGTTATTGTTGTTGTTTTGAGACAAGATCTCACTATGTATCTCTGACTGGCTTGGAACTTGCTATATAGATCAGGCTGACCTTGAACTCACAGAGATCTATCTACCTGCCTATGCCATTCGAGTGCTAGGATTAAAGGCCTGTGCCATCATGCCTGGCCTGATTCTTGGTATTTTTACTTCAATAAAGCCCCATCACAACACAACAGATCTATGAATATTTTTGTTTCAAAACATTTATAGAATTTCTGGTACTTTTCAGAATCATTCCAACATTTTACTAATACAACTTCTTCTGGGAGGTTAAAGGGGAAACTGTATCTATGCCCCTCCTACCACCCCACTGCCTCCCTAAACTGAACCGTGAATCAACACTTACTCCCATGCCTATGAAACCACAGGACAAACATGGTTCACCTTCTTAGACAATGTCTCATTTAATGGTAAAAACTTTTAAGCATTGACCACTGAACTCAAACATGGGTAGATTATGGAATTGGGCCCTCGTTTCTCATCACACTATTTGGGTTTATGCCCTTGGGAAGCAGTCATCTAGCAAAAGCATATGGTATGTCTGTTGCATAGAATTAGGAAAATGATTGGCCTAAGGAATATTGAAAAGGGACTTGGTAACTGTTAGTTCTGTCACACACTACTGATATGATAAGCTTGGACAAGTGACTTATACTGTACATGATTTCACTCTGTCATCTGCAAAAGTAACTTACATGAGAAAAAGTAGTTCCAAAATAAGGCGATTCTGACACCTCACAGTATTGAGTGGTACTTCTAGGACACTAATTTGTTGGGAAATCACAAAATCAAGTGTTTAACATTCAGTGCTCTGTGTTTCAAGAAGGGGAGGAGGAAAAGGTAGAAGCTGCTCTGAAGTTGAGTCAGTTGGATTTAATACACATATCATATGTATTCTGAGGCCCACAACACAGCAAGGCCTGGAAACAGCTGTAAAGATTGTTACAATGTAGTAACTGTTCTCTGAGAACACACAGCCTGGAAACATACTCTCTATTATGGTTCCACCAGCTATGTGGAGCTAAAGACTACTAGACCAGTGATTAATCAACAGAGATATAAATTGAAGGGAATTAGTAGAAAAGATTAGAAAAATCTCTTAAGAACTCGATTACCCATTGAAATAATCTTTTAATGTATTGAATTGAGTAACCTATATCATTAAAAATCAATTTTGCCTGCTTCTTTTCAGTCTTTTTAATTTGTCTATGAGAAAGTATTAAATTATGATTGTGGTTTGCACTGTATTTATTTTGGGCAACGTCAATCTAGGGGATAAGATAATATACTGTGTTTCAAGTGTGAGAGTTTCATAGATGCTCTGTTTGGGGGAAATAGAGGCACATCAGAGGAACCTGTCACCCCATTCTGGGGGGTTGAGAAAGAGTTCTGCTACCTGAAGGAGCACTTACAGAGACTGTGCATTGCAGTGAGGAATTCATTTAGCTTTACAGCTTTGAGTAAGTTACTCTCTGTGCCTCAGTTTCCTCATCTATAAACTGGGCCTGCCTCAGAGGATTGACACAAGAATTAAATGAGTCGAGTCATGTCCATCTCTCCAGGGAGAAGAGTTAGAATGTATGAGCTCCACAATCATTCCCTACTGTTGTCTACCAGAATGCACTCTCCACAAAGTCATCAGGCTTCCCCATGCTCCAAGGACTTGTGGATTGCTCTTTTGAAGGCATTCAGTCTTCTATACCCAGAGCTGCCACTCAGCCTGGCAACAGATGCTGATGATAAACACTTGTGAGGTGTATAGAGCATGAATGGGACCACCCGTCATTCAATAGTCAGTTCAATGGGCTACAGAACAGAGCAAGGTGACAGAGAGCAGCTTGGCAGAGACGTCTCTCAGCCACCCCCGTCCCAAAGTTGCAGAGTCAAGAGATCCTATGAAAGATGCTGAAACAGAAACAGCAATCCCTTGCTTCCCCAACCGCACTTGGCCCCTTACAATATGCTTTCAAGTACTAATTGATAAGTCTATACAAGGCAGACTGCAGCAGTTAGAAGGCAACCTGCCGGGTTTACTAAGTGAAGAACCAAACTGTAATATTAGGAAGCTAAAAAAGCCTTAGAAAATATCATCAGTGTTGGGAGGACAAACAGAACTTTTTGTTATCTCTTATTTTAAATATCTTCTAGTTCTGTTTTTACCATTAGCATATGTTATTTTATAGCTGGGAGGTAAATGCATTCTGTTTTTTAAGAGAGGTAGAAGAATGAGAAGTTGGGTAGTCCAGATGGAGTTCCAATTTGGAGTATAGCTAGTCTTGAATTACATCAAGGGGCTGGGAAATGTCTGGGTTCCACAGTCAGCATGGGGACCACATACTCCAAGGTAGCGGCTCTTTCTGTCAGCTTTGCAGTCAGACAGACCTTCAACCCTTTCATTTCTTATTTCTTGGCAGTGTGACTTATGATCCTTAATCGCTCCATGAATAGGTTTCAAATATATAAAACTGAGACAGAAATAGTACCCACCTCTTTGGGTTTTAGGAAGCATTAATTGGGGCTGGAGAAATGGCTCAGCAGTTAAAGAGCACTGGTTGCTCTTATGAGGACTCGGGTTCGATTACCAGCACCCACATGGCAGCTAACAACTATCCATAACTCCAGTTTGAGGGTATCCAACACCTTCTTCTGACTTCCAGGGGTTTGTACAACATGGGTGCACTTACATACATGCAGGCAATATAGTCACACACATAAAATAAAAATAATAATATATTTTTTAAAAGAAGCACTAATTAAGATTATGCTTGAAAACCATCTGAGACATATGCAGTAACAAAGGAAGGCATTCATCATGATTAATGAACTCACTCAGAGCCTAAAAATCCACTCCTTTCCCACCAGGCAGGCATGCCCAGCAGAGTACCATACCAGCAACTGCTATTCTTCAAGAAAAATCCCAGACACAGTAAAGCAGCTTGCCCTAAAGCCATGCCTAGTCATTCTTGATTACTAATGAATAAATCAGCTAGTTCAAATTATACAAGTATTTATTTCCTAAAGAACTCAGGTATTTCTTCCAGATGCTTTGATTCTTCAAAAAAGACTTTTGTAATAGAATCCATTTTTCAGCTTCTTAAATTTAAGGTTAAAATCACTAAAAATGGAACACACCAAGACAAAGTACCTCAACACACACACACACACACACACACACACACACACACACACACACCTGGAAAGGCAGGTCAGGAGAAGTAAGAAATAGGACCATCTCCCAGTGTTCAGTGGGCAGGAACTGTTCAAGAACTGAGGACTTCTGAAGGTGGGCTTTCTAGAAATGGCAGAGGTTGGGGAAAGAAAGAGTAGGGATGAGGGAAGAAAGAACGCATGGGAATTTTGAGGCATCCCGGAGGTGATGGAGTGTTCACCACTGGATAAGCAGAAATGAGAAGTAGAAAGCTCAAATTACAGCAGCACAGAGTTGAAAATTGGAAACCAAAATGGAAATCAAGGCGGAAGACGTTGAAGAAATATTTTCTAACCATTCATGCAACAAATATTTGTGGAGCACCAGCTTTGCTCCAAAGTATTGCAGATTCAACAGAAAACAGATAAGCAAACAATTCTCATGTGTGTCAGCTTGTGGTTTTGACATTTCAAATTCGAGCGCCCCCATCTACCAGCAGCCTGCCGGCAGCAAGGTCGTATCTTTTCTCCATATGTGAAATGACATAGTGAGGGAAAAGCACTACATTCACAGATAGGAAAAGTCAACACAGTCAAGACACTGATTTGCCTCCACATTGGCTTGTATTTTCAATGCATTTCCTATTAAAACCCTAGCAAGGTTTTCTGAAGATCGGTGAGCTGATTCTAAACTTTACGTGGAAAGTAAAAGCCCCAGAATAACCCAAACAACTTTGACAAAGAATGATGCATCAGGAGTCACCCCCTACCTGATAAGTCTTGGTTTGTAGTTACAGTAATCAAGAGGCATGGTGTCAGTAGAAGTACAGACACATAGATTGGAAATGCATACACACACACATACACCCAACTGACTTTTGACAGAGATTCAAAAAGCTCAATGAAGGATTGTGTTTTCAACCATTAGTGCTGGAGCAACAGATCATCACATAAAACAAAAACTTAATCTCAATTTAAGTCTCATTCTTTACTCAAAAATTAAGTTAGAATGGTGGACTGCAGAGATGGCTCAGCGATTAAGAGCACTGGGTGCTCTTGCAGAGGACCCAGGTTTGATTCCCAGCATCCACATGGCAGCTAACAACCATACGTAATTCCAGTTCCAGGGAATCCG